ATACACAGCCTGGGAAAAAAGCAAACTGAGAAACAATGGACTATGACATAATATACATATATTTAAAAAAAAGAACCTGTATGTGTTTATAAATTCATAGAAAATGTCTAGAAGAATGAACACCTACCTGCTAACAAGAGTGCTTGCTGAGGGGCTTCCCTGGTGGCACAGGGGTTAAGAATCTGCCTGCCAATGCAGGGGACATGGGTTCGAGCCCTGGTCCAGGAAGATCCCACATGCTTCAGAGCAACAAAGCCCGTGCGCCACACCTACTGAGCCTGCGCTCTAGAGCCCGTGCACCACAACTACTGAGCCCGCAAGCCACAACTACTGAAGCCCGCATGCCTAGAGGCTGTGCTCCGCAACAAAAGAAGCCACAGCAATGAGAAGCCCACGCACCGCAATCAAGAGTAGCCCCCGCTTGCCGCAACTAGAGAAAACCAGCACGCAGCAACGAAGACCGCATGCAGCCAAAAATAAATAAATAAATAAAATTGATTCTATTAAAAACAAAGAATGCTTGCTGAGAATGGCAGTGAGTTTGGAGGGATGGGGATGAAAGGGGGGACTTTCACTTTACACACATCCGAATGACTTGACTCTTTCTTTTTTACCGTTTGTGTTTCCTCCATAATTAAGAAAGAAGAAAAAATGAGTGGTTACCGTTTGGTAGCAGGGCCACAGTATTATCCTCGTCAATATTTGTGTTGTACGTTAGTGCATAGCACGCACCTGTAAGAGAAAACCCAGAGGAGAAATTAAGAAAAAAATCACACCTGCAAGAAGTTAGTGGATTATTTTCACAGGATAACAAACCTTCCGGGTCACTGCACCAGCTCACTCAGCCAAGCTGGAGGACACGCAAGGCCAAGCACAGCTAGTTCACGCCCCTGCCTAGGGCCTGTCTGTGCAAGCTGGCTATCAACGAGCAGAAAATGGACTCAGGATGGAGCGCATACCTCCAGGGATGCTGGTAAAGGGGCACAAAGTGGAAAAGCAGGTGAGTGTACACACCTGAAAGGCAGAGTTCCAGATGAAGACTCAATATGTGCCACAAACTTGTGTGAAGTCAAGAAAGCTACTCAATCTCTCTGAGCCTCATTTTTCTCACCTGTAAAATGGGCGTTGCAGGCCTATTTCATAGTGTTGTTGCCAGGGTTAAGTCGGGTCAGCTATGTAAAAGTCCCTGCCATGGCCAGTGTCCACACTGTTAACAAAATAGCCTGAGACTTCTTTTTTTTTTTTTTTGACCACACCACACAGCTTGTGGGATCCTAGCTGCCCGAGCAGGGATTGAACCCGGGTCCTCAGCAGTGAAAGCGAGGAATCCTAACCACTGGACCGCCAGGGAATCCCCCAGCATCAAGCTTCAGAACCGAAGAAAGGAATCATGCCCGTGTGACCAAAGACAAGATGTCAGTGGCCCTTGTGCAGTGATGTATATAGTAAGGGTGGATCCCTAAAGACGCGCCGAAATAGTTTCAAACAAGTGGCTCCTAGGATATAACTGGAACAAGCCAATCCACCCAGCTGACACAGATGGGAAATGAGGTGCACAGGCGAGGCCGAGAGCCACAACGTCTACGCGGAAGACGCTGAACCCCAATCAGCACCTGACTCTGGGGCCAGCAGCTGTGGCTGCATCAGGAGACCACCCTCTCCAGACAGCTGTCATGGGGACTGCAGGGAGAACAGCGGTCTGTCTCTGCAGCCACACACCCAATGGCAGCGCATCTGAACACAGTGCATCTGAACACAGCGGTCAAAAGACTTTCCTTTCCATTAACCCTCATACGACACCCTCCCACACAACACCTGTGGACCAGCGCAATCAGAAACCACCACCTAACGAGGGCACACAGAGTCGGCTGAGCTACTGCGCGACGGAGGGAGGGATGCACACGCCTGACCACACGGGCGATCTCCAGCCGTCCTATTCAGAACAAGAGAAGGACCCTGGTATTGCTATGCGATCTCCCTGGCCTTCCTCACCTCACCACGTTCATAGACACTACACGGCTTTTCTTACCTTTCTTGACAAAAGTACTGATGAATTCGTGTGCGATTAACTCATGAAGAGGTAAATCCTTCACAAAGTAATAGGGTCCAGAGTCCATGACCAGGTCCTTCAGTTCTTTTGATAGTATCCCACACTCAGGAATCAGAAATGAAACCTATTGGAATGTGCAATATAAACAAGTCTTATTGTTTTTAATTGAAGCATAGCTGACTTACAATATTACATTAGTTTCATGTGTACAGCATAGTGATTCAGTATTTTTGCAGATTACACTCCATTATAGGTTTAAACAAGTTTTATTTTCATGTAGATCAACATGCAGGTTTTTAGCGATGATACAACATCATGAAGGCTGTTAACCATTCCTCCACAGCTTTCAAAAAAACTCTGAAATTAACTTACCAATCTCAGAGTGGGAGATGGGGATCGACATATATACACTATTGATACTATGTATAAAATAGGTGACTAATGAGAACCTACTGTATAGCACAGGGAACTCTGCTCTGTGGTGACCTAGATGGGAAGGAAATCCAAAAAGAGGGGCTATATGTATACATATAGCTGACTCACTTTGCTGTACAGTAGAAACTAACATGATATTGTAAAGCAACTATGCTCCAATAAAAATTTTAAAAATAAAAATAAAAATAGAAAAACCAAAACAAAAAAAACTTACTAATCTCAGGAAAAGAGAAATTTGACAACTCAAGTTTTCCATTTCTGTATTCAAGCTTACAGTACAGGAAAGGTGAATGAGCAAAACAATTTTTTTTTTTTTTTTTTGGCAATACGCGGGCCTCTCACTGTTGTGGCCTCTCCCGTTGCGGAGCACAGGCTCCGGACGCGCAGGCTCAGCGGCCATGGCTCACGGGCCCGGCCGTTCCGCGGCATGTGGGATCTTCCCGGACCGGGGCACAAACCCGTGTCCCCTGCATCGGCAGGCAGACTCTCAACCACTGCGCCACCAGGGAAGCCCGAGCAAAACAATTTTAATGGGAAGTCTTGCTTGTGGTTTTTTTAAAAATCATTTTTTTAAATTAATTTTATTTATTTTTGGCTGCGTTGGGTCTTCCTTGCTGCACGCGTGCTTTCTCTAGTTGCAGTGAGCGGGGGCTACTCTTTGTTGCCGTGTGTGGCTTCTCATGCGGTGACTTCTCTTGTCGCAGAGCACGGGCTCTAGGCGTGTAGGCTTCAGTAGTTGTAGCACATGGGCTCAGTAGTTGTGGCTCGCGGGCTCTAGAGCGCAGGCTCAGTAGCTGTGGCACACAGGCTTAGCTGCTCCACGGCACGTGGGATCTTCCCGGACCAGGGCTTGAACCTGTGTCCACTGCACTGGCAGGTGGATTCTTAACCACTGTGCCATCAGGGAAGCCCTTGCTTGTGTTTCATCTTTTACAAATGAGCAATATATTTTACGTCCCGTTCCTATCACTACGTTAATTTTTAGGGAAATATAGTACAATTGAATATCCCTAGATCTGTGTATCCTAGTACCAGGCTGGAATCAAAGGAACTGTCCCTTAGGGCGTAAGGAATTGAGGGACACCAATTATTAAGAGGTTAAATGGAAGCAGAAGTCTGCTGGATGTTTACATTTTACAGATAGAAAAACTCTACAGATGGGACGGGAAAGATAAGGTACACATCCCCGACTGCTGTCTGTGATGAGCTTTCCATCCAAAGCAGAGATAATCAACCTGACAGGTTTCAAACGTCGCCCAGGTGCTCCACACCTTGAAAAACCACTCTCCCAAAGCTGGAACCCCAGTTTGTCCCTGAAGGCCCAGGGTCACCAGTTGTGCCTGAGAAACTAGCCAGTCAGGCCTGAGTTGAGATTAGGCTGGTCGATTTAAAGTGGAAAAGGCTTAAAGCATTTTCATTGTAAGGTTTATTCTGAAGCCCTCTCCACTTAAATGGGCTGGTGAAGCCCGCCCAGCATACACTACCTGGGAATTAGGGATGTTCTCTTCTACTCTCAGCAGATCCTGGATAAACTGGTAATTAACCTCACCGATGCTTCAACCATCACATTCGCGAAAAAGGCGCCCGAGAGGATACGCGGGCCTCTCACTGTTGTGGCCTCTCCCGTTGCGGAGCACAGGCTCCGGACGCGCAGGCTCAGCGGCCATGGCTCACGGGCCCGGCCGTTCCGCGGCATGTGGGATCTTCCCGGACCGGGGCACAAACCCGTGTCCCCTGCATCGGCAGGCAGACTCTCAACCACTGCGCCACCAGGGAAGCCCGAGCAAAACAATTTTAATGGGAAGTCTTGCTTGTGGTTTTTTTAAAAATCATTTTTTTAAATTAATTTTATTTATTTTTGGCTGCGTTGGGTCTTCCTTGCTGCACGCGTGCTTTCTCTAGTTGCAGTGAGCGGGGGCTACTCTTTGTTGCCGTGTGTGGCTTCTCATGCGGTGACTTCTCTTGTCGCAGAGCACGGGCTCTAGGCGTGTAGGCTTCAGTAGTTGTAGCACATGGGCTCAGTAGTTGTGGCTCGCGGGCTCTAGAGCGCAGGCTCAGTAGCTGTGGCACACAGGCTTAGCTGCTCCACGGCACGTGGGATCTTCCCGGACCAGGGCTTGAACCTGTGTCCACTGCACTGGCAGGTGGATTCTTAACCACTGTGCCATCAGGGAAGCCCTTGCTTGTGTTTCATCTTTTACAAATGAGCAATATATTTTACGTCCCGTTCCTATCACTACGTTAATTTTTAGGGAAATATAGTACAATTGAATATCCCTAGATCTGTGTATCCTAGTACCAGGCTGGAATCAAAGGAACTGTCCCTTAGGGCGTAAGGAATTGAGGGACACCAATTATTAAGAGGTTAAATGGAAGCAGAAGTCTGCTGGATGTTTACATTTTACAGATAGAAAAACTCTACAGATGGGACGGGAAAGATAAGGTACACATCCCCGACTGCTGTCTGTGATGAGCTTTCCATCCAAAGCAGAGATAATCAACCTGACAGGTTTCAAACGTCGCCCAGGTGCTCCACACCTTGAAAAACCACTCTCCCAAAGCTGGAACCCCAGTTTGTCCCTGAAGGCCCAGGGTCACCAGTTGTGCCTGAGAAACTAGCCAGTCAGGCCTGAGTTGAGATTAGGCTGGTCGATTTAAAGTGGAAAAGGCTTAAAGCATTTTCATTGTAAGGTTTATTCTGAAGCCCTCTCCACTTAAATGGGCTGGTGAAGCCCGCCCAGCATACACTACCTGGGAATTAGGGATGTTCTCTTCTACTCTCAGCAGATCCTGGATAAACTGGTAATTAACCTCACCGATGCTTCAACCATCACATTCGCGAAAAAGGCGCCCGAGAGGGTGACATTTTCACGGAGCAACAGCGAAAATCGCTCTGAAGTTGCGCATGCGAGCAGGGAAGCCTCGGCGAATTTCTGCAAAAGCTGTCGAAATGGTGCACTCTGGCTGGACAACGCAGAAGGCAGCAAGGAAAGGGGGAGGTTTCTCAGGTATCAAACTAGCGCCCATAAGCGGT